GGCTTCCAAACTTTTTGTTAATGAAACACACATTACACATATATATATATATATATATATATATATGACAGGAGCTTCAAAAAATGCGTCGTCTCTTCTTGAATTCGGAACGCAATAAATTATACTAACGTCGTTTAACAAGACAAATCCACGTAAAACCTGATTGTCTAATGAAAATCAAACAACACAAAAATAGAAAGAACACAATTTCTTTTTCTTTCATTTTTCCCATATCTCATTCTCTGATGAAGCTTTGATAAATGTGAAACGTGTCAGATTGATAAACATTTCCTATTTATTCGTTGTCTTATCATTCTCTCGGATTCCGATTCATATATGATCTGTATCTGATGCAATCACCCCATATATATATATATATATATATATATATATATATATATATATATGTGTGTGTGTGTGTGTGTGTGTGTGTTTATGTGTATGTGTATGTTGCTTCTTTTTTCCATTTTTGTGAATTAGATGCTGTATATCGTGTTCAAAATTAGGAATAAACTTTCCAAAGTTTTTTTTGTTCTAGTACTTTCAACTATTTCAGCCATAAGTGAAAATTCCAGAATTGTTTATATATATATATATATATATATATATATATATATATATATATATTAATTGTTCGTTGCTGAGTTATATAATTTAAATAACATGTATTTCGGTCGCAAGAATTCATCGAAACAGGTTTTGTTAAATTCAACAGTCAAGGTCTGTCTATATAATTTCCCTATTGTATCTTCCCAGTTCTCTAATAAGAAGTACATCGGGATCGAAATTAAGAATAAACTGTCCAAATCAAATAGACAGATTTTGACGTTTTCCACAGACCCCTTACCGAAAAAAAAAAATAATCAGCAACTGACCACTTGAGTGATTACTGCTTCCTCTAAAATTTTTGCTATTTTGCATTTTGTCTGTCACATTCGCAACAAAAGAAACAACCTCTATTCACTTAAGACACCACAAGCGTCTTACATCTTCTATCAAATCTACATACCTTTCGAGATTGTTTTTCTTTCTCCACTACCATTATATATCCTGGTACCGCTATATCAATAAACCAAAACTTTTTTGTCTTCCTTCTGGGCAATAATAATATCTGGCCTTCTTGTGTCAATTACATTATCACATTACACCGTGAAGTCCCAAAGCAGTTTTGCAGTCCACTAATTATTATTATTATTATTAATGACATACGTTTTGGCTATACTTGAGTTGATATGATGACATAGTTCGGGGTTGTACTTGAGTCAATGAGTAGATATATGTTAATACTATACTTGAGTCAATGGAGAGTCATGGGTTGTGTTTATAGTAGAGTTGATATGCATATATAAGTCATATTTATAATTCGGTTGATAAATAGATATATGTTGTATTTATACTTGAGTCGAATTGTTGACATGATATGCTTATACTTGAGTTGTGAAGTAGATATACATCGTGTTTATACATGAGTTTTGTTTAAATTTGTCCCGTTTTACACACACACACACACACACACATATATATATATATATATATATATATATATATATATTTATATATATTTTTTTTTAGGCAAAATTTATGCATTAGTTTGGTTTGTACTTGGATTTAGAAGCGTCTAATCATCATTTTAGAGCGAGTTTTAATTCTCTGCATTGGATAGATTCATGAATATAACAGAATTATAATTCTGCCAACAGAACATTGAAAAGTTTACTTTGACGATAGCTAGGAATAAACTACATCTTGAACACTGTTTAAACCTTATATTACATAGGGATAAAAATGAAACAAACGCTAGAATGGATTAGTGAATATTATGAAAAAGGTGAAGAAGGTGAAAGTTCAAGTCTGGAATGGACTGCGAAGGGGAAAGGGAGCTTTTGACCATTGAAGTGGATAAGTATTTTAAAACTAATGAATTAAGTGCTTTCGAAGGAAGATGCGACGTAAATGCAACATAAACTTCTTCCAGAGTTCGCTTTGAATCATTCAACTCATTTGAAAGATCCACTAGAAAGGGAAGTGATTTTTAATGCCCCTAACTGATATTTATATATTTATCTCGCGATTTAATTATTGCAAATTAATGCCATTGCCATATCTGTCAACTCCAGATTATCACCCATGCCCTCATGTCCATATCTGTCACCTGTAGACTATTATTCATGCCCTCATCTTTATACCTGTCGACTCCAGGGTATCACTCCCGTCCTAATCTCGATCTGTCACCATTAGAATATTACTCATGCACTCATACCTGTCACTGCCAGACTATCACTGATGTCCTTATCTCTAGAACTGTCACCTCCAGATTAGCACTCATGGCCTCACCTCTAGATTCGCCACGTCCAGACTATCACTAATACCGTCATCTCCAGATGTGTCCTCCCCATAGACTATTACCCATGTCCTTATCTCTAGATATGTCATCACCAAACTATCGCGTATGATCATCTTCAAATGTATCACCGCAAAACCCATATCCATACCTCCAGATATATCACCTTCAGACTATCATCCATGACCAGATCTCCAAACTATTATTTTTGTGCTCATTCCTTAATGACCCCAAAAATCTCAGTCGTCCCCTTATCACAATATCTGTCGCCCCCAGACTAGTACTCATAGCCTTATCTCTAGATCTGTCATATCTAAATTATTACTCATGCCCTCACCAAATTATCTGACACCTCCAGACTAGCACTCATATCCTTATCTCCAGATCTAGTCATCTCTAAATTATTATTTATGCCCTCATCACAATATCTGTCACCACAAGACTATCACTTATATCCTTATCTCCAGATCTGTCATCTCTAAATTAGTATTCATGCCCCCATCGCAATATCTGTCATCTCCAGACTAGCACATATCTTTATCTCCAGATCTGTCATCTCTAAATTATTACTCATGCCCTTATCACAATATCTGTCACCTCCAGACTGGCACTCATATCCTTATCTCCAGATCTAGTCATCTCTAAATTATTACTCATGCCCTCATCACAATATCTGTCACCACCAGGCTATCACTTATATCCTTATCTCCAGATCTGTCATCTCTAAATTATTATTCATGCCCCCATCACAATATCTGTCATCTCCAGATTAGCACTCATATCTTTATCTCCAGATCTGTCATCTCTAAATTATTGCTCATGCCGTTATCACAATATCTGTCACCTCCAGACTATCACTCATATCCTGATCTCCAGATCTGTCATCTCTAAATTATTACTCATGGCCTCATATCTACGCTAACTAATTACATAGACTGCCATCTCCACTCCTATTACCTCCATGTTCACTAAATAGTCCCGACAAATTGAAGATGTCTAACACCTTCACAGAGAATTTATTGGATCAAAAAGAGGATAGTTCTGGTACAAGTGAATGCACAATTTGTCATGTATAAATGTGCAAGTTCCTAAAAGACTAATAAAAATGATTTGATGTGTGTATTATGATGATAGGTGTTGTGGTAGGATCCACCTAATTTACATAGTGGAGTCCCGACCATATAAATATGGGTTGGTACCGGGAAGACGAGGGGAGGAATCAAGAGATTCAACCAGAGACTCTGCTCGACTGCGATTAAGTCAACCCATTCTACAGGAACGGTCTTCCCAAGAATATACCAAACTATCTGTAAATATTGTGTACACGTTCTTGTGTCAATACATTTTGTTTAAGTACATTTTGTGTTGTATTATTATTATTATTCCATGCTTTATTCAAGTTTCAACAATAGGAAACAACGTGAATGAATGATTTTGTCGAAAACAGGTGGAAACTTGTAAAGCATCCTTATATTATGAAAATATAATGCATACCAATTAATAATTTATGAGTTAAAAACAATGAGAAGGGAAAAAAAGCTCTATAAACGTGACCGTGTGCCTTTCATTTGGATTTGAGTCAACGAACAAACGAAATTTGAAGTGCAGTAAAAAAATCGTGGGATCGAATGAAAGGATCGATGATTTCGGTCTGCTTTTGAAATGAACGCTTTTTCTACGGTTCGGCTTCTTTCTTTCATCATTTCGTGTATGAAATCGGATGAATGTTTATCACCAGTAAGATTTTGCCTTCAGGATTTGGCGTTAGATGATGGGTTTCGTGTTTAGGCTTTGTTGAAAAGTACTGAAGGAGAGCGTTGACAAAAAATGAAAGCTCTTAACTACACAGAAGAAAATGCTAGCTAGAGGTAAACTATAGGCAGAGATGTCAACTGAGATAGATAGATATGGGAAAATTCAACGAGATCAATAGAAAGACAGAGAATATAAGATGCCCCAGTAGTTTAATTGTTAACAAATTCGTTTAATAATATAGTAAACATGTTATCAGTAATTAGATTAATTCTTTGATTGTCACTGCTTTGGCAATAGTGATTTTCCAAGCGTAGCTTGGATGTGGCATATATGCCGATATATATATATATATATATATATATATATATATATATATATATATATATATATATATATATATTATTTATACATATAGCATCATTTAGCGTTTTCTATATATAAGTGTCTCCCAGTGAGGATCGATCTCACTACTAATGATAACCGACTGAAAAAGCAAACAAGTTTATAAGGATCTTACATAATCATGTTTAAAGAACGCGGTCATGTTTAGATAGTATATGACTCAACTCATTTTATAGCAAAAATAGACAGACGTCTCTCAGAGAAGCCAAGTCTGTCAGCGGATTAAACTGAGAGATGATCCCCTGGCACCCTGTTGCGGATTTGCTGTATATCAGTGGCCGTGAACATGTGTTCGACCTAGTTCCGCTTGGAACGAATCGGGTGGTAGACAGATTAGTAAGCACCCACCCGAGAGGGAATAAAGCGATAGTCTCGGACATCCACGAGAGAAGAAGAATACACGTTTAGGGAAAACTCCCAAACCCACACACCTACTCGGTGACAGTAATTGACGAAGTCTGGGGTTGAATGTTGCGTGTAGGAGATTTAGTATCGTGTTTACTTTAATCTTGTCAATGATATGGTGATAGATAGATAGATAGATAGATAGATAGATAGATAGATAAGGGCAGAAGAGGTTGAAAACTGAAAACGTAATAGATGATAAATACAGACTGAGAGAGACAAGTATATAAGAGAGTTTTACATAATCATGTTGAAGGTACAAATCTATGCGTAATAGATAGATAGATAGATAGATAGATAGATAGATAGATATGAACAATCTGAGAGAGCGAGAACGTTAAACAGATAGATAGATAGATATAGATAGATAGATAGATAGATAGATCAACAGACTGGGATAGATAGATAGATAGATATATAGATAGATAGATAGATAGATAGATAGATAGAATGAATATTAAACAATCTGATAGATAGAGAATGTTATAGATAAATAGATCCATAGATAGATTTCAGACTGGGATAGATAGATAGATAGATAGATAGATAGATAGATAGATAGATAGATAGAACAATCTCAGAGAGAAGTTTAATTGTTCAGAAACTAGATAAATGTTATAGATATACTAAATATATAATCAGAATTAATGTAATGAATGCATTCCTCAAGCTATTTAATGCAAATCTATCTTAGATAGATAGATAGATAGATAGATAGATATATATATAAGGGCAGAAGAGGTTGAAAACTGAAAACGTAATAGATGATAAATACAGACTGAGAGACAAGTATATAAGAGAGTTTTACATAATCATGTTGAAGGTACAAATCTATGCGTAATAAATAGATAGATAGATAGATAGATAGATCAACGACTGAGATAGATAGATAGATAGATAGATAGATAGATAGATAGATAGATAGATAGATATGAACAATCTGAGATAGATAACGTTAAACATAACGCCAGATAGATAGATAGATAGATAGATAGATAGAAACTCATCACAGAATAATTTTTAAACATCAGAAAATAGATAAACATTACTAATATACTAAATATATAATCAGCAATTAGTGTAATGAATTCGTTCCTCGCTATTTGGCAATCTGTCATAGATAGATAGATAGATAGATAGATAGATAGATAGAAAAACTAATGATATACTTTCAGACTGAAGCTGCTAATCGAATTAATATAAAAATGTCGAGAAAGAATAAAAAAAAAGATGAAGAGGAGACAGTGACTAAAACAATGGGATGGGGAATGGAAGGACTGGATGAAAGAAGAATATAAAAAAAGGAAAAACCATTGAGAAGAGTTGAAGCAAGTAGAAAAGAAAAAAAATGTAGAAATAATCATGGGTCTTTTTTGTTAGAATCTCTTGCCAAATTAATCGGACAGTTGTATGTTGTTGGACGCAGTTCAAATGTCTCCCTTCTTATGTACGCATCGAGCTTTTTACTACATTTCTTTATAGAATTGCAAGAAAAGTCCGTTTTTGTCGGCAACCTTTTCAAGGGTAATGTTACCATTTGTTTTGTTCGTTCATTTCTTCTTATGATTTCCTAGCTCAGACGAAGAGAAGCACCTTTTGTTAGTTGCAGAAAGAGCCGATATTAACTTCCTTTCAGGTTGAGCTTCATGTAAATTATTGGAATTACGATAGATACACATAATTACGTATATGTGTGCATGTGTATATTAATCGAAATATATATGTAAGGTTATTTATCGAATCGGATGTAGTAAGGACTTTTGGCTTTATTCTTTGTGAGCAGTAGTCCAATACATAGATTGCGCAGTCTTCGTGAAAGCTCTACTTCAAAAGAGTGAGTAGAAATTATTTTTAGGCTTATATTTTTTCATAGACAAACTCGTCAATGTTTTTTTGATAGCACCTTATATATATATATATATATATATATATATATATATATATATATATATATATATATATATAAATGAGGATTGGAAAAAAGGTACCTAATATTTAATATTATGATATTTATTTATAATATATGTATTTTTATAAAAAATTTAAACTTTGTTACTTACAATTGAATTTTCAGTGCTTTTTCTTAGAAAATTAATTTGTTTTCTTCTTTTTTAAACTTCTAAAATTAAAAACTTAAAACTTTTAAACTGAAAAAGTTTTTAAAAAGAAGGAAAACAAATTATTTTTCTCAGAAATAAAAAACACTGTAAATCCAATTGTAAGAAAGTTTTAATTCATCTCTCTAAAATTCACATATTATAAATAAATAACACTATATAATTTTAGTCTATACAGTATGTTTTTTCTACAGAAATTTTCTATCAAAATATTTTTTTTATCTATCTATCTATCTATATATATATATATATATGTGTGTGTGTGTGTGTTTGTGTGTGTGTAATGATAAAATTATTGGTTTAAGGCGTGATATATTTCTGGTTAAAAGTGCTCAAGTTCAGAAATAGAGCGTATGTAAATATAAAAGTCGACATTGACATTAAACCCCAACAGCGACACACTGTTTATATATATATATATATATATATATATATATATATATATATATATATATATATAACTAAACATAAGAAGTCAACACTAGATAGATAGATAGATAGATAGATAGATAGATAGAAACTCATCACAGAATTTTAATTGTTCAGAAACTCGATAAACATTACTAATATACTAAATATAAAGTGTGCTGTTACAAACATGTTATAAATGTAATAAACATTACTAATATACTAATATAAAGTGTGCTGTTATTTTTCTCGGCTATTTATATATATTCTGACCCGTATATATATAAATAGCTGGGAAAAAAAACAGCACTCAACCCTTTTGATTGCATATAGCATGAAACAGACTGTCGCCTCTAAGTGTTGACTTCTATGTTCACTTTTATTTTACACGCTCTATCTCTGATATTGAGCACTTTATCCCATAAATATAGCACACCTTAAGACTATATTTCTTCATATATATATATATATATATATATATATATATATGAATTGAGGGGGATTTGAATAATCATAATTAATTCATCCAGTCGAGAAGAATCCTCAACAGAATGCAGAATGCACTGGACGGCCGCTTCGTCCTATTTTGGGTACTCGTCCATTCAAAACCTTTGTTTGTCAATGTTGTGGGGTACTATCGTTTTTTTAGAGTTTTTTATAATTTTTCTCAGTGTTTTTTTTTAGGTGCTTGTCAGTTACTATAGTGCAAACCCTACGTGCTATGGACTAGGGAATACATTTCAGACAGCTTTTTGGGGAGGATGTCTCTTGAAATGAAAATATTGTTGGGTGTCTATAGGTTTTATGGTAGATATCTGTGATTATGAGGTTGTTTTTATTTCCAATGAGTATATCTCAAAATAATATACACAGAATTAGCATGGTATGAAATGACCGAAGAGTGAAAAATAAATAAATAAAAAAAGGAGATGCAGACAGGTGATATCTGGCAAACATGGTTGCCTCGGGCTGTCAGCTGCTTGGTTTATTATTCCCTTGTCCAAATGTTCAGTGGAGGTGAGTGTTGAAAAACAGCTTGACCTGACCCCTTTGATATGTATTTGAGGCAATATTTGATTGAATGAACTGATGAGCAGATTTCAACATTGATATGACACTTGAATTGTCGCAACAAATATGTACTGTACGTCACTACCTTGATAATTTCTTGCTCAACTTGATTGTCTCATTTTGATCTTGCTGATATGACCTCCATTTTCAGGCTTTCTCCTTCTATATTTTGAATAGGGGTTATTCCCTTGTTCTCATTTAAATTTTATTTAAATCAAAGAGAAAAAAATTCAGTTGTGTGTTTGTGTCCATGGGGCCCCCTTTGATCAAAATGAAATATACTTATCCAAGTACCTTAGGAGTCATTTCCTTGATCAAATGTAAATTTAATTCATATAAAAGAGAAAAAAAAATCAATGGTGGTTTGTTCCCCCCACCCCGCTGTTCCCCCTTTGTTCAAAATGAAATATACTTATCCAATTACTTTGGATTACCTAGGGTAATGTAGTTTCAGAATATATATGGTTATGGGGGTGTATCTCCAAAACCCTAGTAGTTCGATAACAAACAGACAGAGGCAACAAAATTATTTATATATAAAGGCTGTTTCATTAAGAGGGATTATATATAAGGGTGTTTCATTAAGACGGATCAAAGTCAGCAGTAAATAAATCAGTGTTATTAGTGGAAATTGATTTATTTCTCTATTTAATCATGTTATATGTCATGGCAATTATGAGTGAAAAAAAAAATTGCCCAAATGTCCACCAAATCTGAAAGAAAAAATCATTAGACGCTTAAACTTAAATTACATTAAAATCGGTCCAAGTTATTGGAACACCCCTTTAGATGGGGGAGTGGAGTTGATGTAATGGATGTTATGTCGAAAATGGATTCTGGACGAGTTCAAATTCTAGTCAGTAGTACTATATTAATTTCATTGAGAATAACATCACTTCTCCCTACTGGTAGATCAGAGTGGGTTCATTAGACACAGTAGGACAACAATTATGGATACGATTAACGCTGAATCAAACCCCTGCCAACACATATCAGGCTAACGCCCATTATTCTCTATTACCTTGTATTACTCAATGAATTTAATATGAATAGCCTCTTTATATCTGTAATCATCTTTTGCTCTTTCTAAATATAATATGATTAAAAAATGTCTTACGTAATATTGGTGCTGTACAATATGTGTTACTGTATTTGTTAATGGGCCTTACCTATAATAACATAATGGACTATTCCATACGTAATAAATACTGCGCCTCAAGAGGAAGCAGAAAGTTCAGCCTGAAATCGGGCGACCGGCTGATCGGTTGAACTCTGCTTTCGGGCGGGGAGGAACCCCAACGAGGCTACGCCGAAGAGCGGAGTCTCTTTCGGGGAGGTAAACTGACCCTGAACCCGTTTATACGGGTTCAAAGGGCATATTTTTGGCCGAGCCCACGGGCTCGGAGATCCTACGTTAAACCGGCCTTTGTGCTATATGATGCCCTCGTGGGAAGGTGACTAAATACTGTTCAGTCTGAAGTCTGGAGTGAGGTCCGTCAGAAGTCCGTGAGTCAGTCAGAGCGAGCGAGTCAGTCAGTCGAGTCAGAGGCAGTCCGAAACAGAGTCGCGTTTCAGACGATTACTGCAAGACATTGGAATAGTGATCCTGGTCGAGACTACATTGTTCTCTCTACTAAACCTGCTTGTTCGTACTAACACTTTCTACTTCTCTGTATATATTCGTGTTTGTAATATATCTGTGTTATTCCATATCCGTGTTCGAGTTCTTCTTTATTGGTTCTACCTTGGACTATCACCGTGGTACAAGGAACCGGACCATAATAGTATTGAATTTTGGTCAAACGTGGTGAGACTACAAGAGAAAGTTGTGGTTGTATAACCTACATATTTACCGATGATATTACAATAATACAACTCGTTGACGATAATACAATTAAAATATTATTTTCTTAAAAAAAACATTACAAATTGCACGGTCTGACATAAGTTCAATGTTAGCTTTATTTATTTGATTTAAATGATTCGTTTTCTCTGACTTATCAAATATTTTCAAGTTATTTAAAGCTAGAAAATATTTAAGATTTTAAGATATTTTTTTTTAGATAATATTAGTTTAGTGATACAAGTTTAACTAATTAACCTATAGATAAGGGAGATGAGGTGCATTAATACCTTTCCCGAGGGTATTTGCGTGTAAGTAAATAACGAACCCGGTTGGAATTGGGACTTGGTTTACCGATTTCCAACTCCAAGTCGTTATCCATTACTCATTTCGCGCATCCAAGTTCTCAACACCTAGTACTCCCAGGCGGTCTCCTACATATGATTGAGAACGGTTGATGAGGAAAAAAACAACATTAACTTCGTTGATCTTACGAGAATCGGTGTTTCAACGTGATGTGCCCGGAAACCTCTGTTAAGTCTGAAAGCATATAATAGCGAAATAAGATCGATGAAATATATCATTCAGCTGCATCTAAATTGATAAAAATAACATCATTATTTTCTTCCGCTCGGTAAAAAAATGCTGAAATTAGATTTTTATATAGAATATCATTTTGCGACATAGATGTGCATAAACGTGTATTGATTACATTTTTATACCATTTTGAAAGAATTAAATTAACATCTTTACATAACATAACAGCGTATTCTTTTATTTACCGTAATCCTTCCACGGTCTTTTTTTTTGATCAGAGGTTTATCCCTTGTTTCCTGATAGGGTTTGTTCATTTTAACATAATGTTTTAACTCTCTTAACTCTTTCGTGATCTGTCTGATCAGTGACTGCAATTTTTCATTATTAGATTGTCGACTGAGATGAACCTTCTGGTTTAGAGAGGCTGCATTGATCAGTATTTCGGAATATTTAAAATGCCATGTTGTGCATGGATAGGTGTCACTGAAGGCGACATTATGATTTAGTCTTAGCTACCTTCCCGTCTGTTTTCACTGACAGGCAATAGACAGTGATAATTATTTTGGTCTTTTTCTCGTTAAAAATTATGTTTGTGATTCTTACATTTATATTATGTCTTACGTTTCTTTAATTGTACTCTCTCCTAAAATTCACTGACTTAGATAGGTTCGCCTATCACCCGGTTTCACTTCTTCCCCTTCTGTTGAACAGGGATAGGGGTAGGGGATTATCCATTATTTCATATTTACGATTGAGTTGCCTGCTTCTTTTCCTAAATTCTTCACATTCTCATTCATTCCAAGTAGTCCTCTCGCGCCTAAATAGAAGTATCACATTGCTTGGGTGAAATGATTTAAAAAATGTTTTTTCTTTTTCTCATATTTCTTCACAATCCGTAACCTCTTGTGCCTTAGTGACTTTATTGCCTTACTTGGGGAGAAATGATTAAAAAACATAAAAAATAATGTTTTATTTCACTCTTAGTCATCATCATCATGCGGCCTCAGCCGAGATTGAACTCACTACACCTTTCTAGTAATCCTTATCTGTCATAGCTAATACTTTGATTGGTGTCCCACATAATCTTGTCAAATAGCTGAATTCTTGATGCTTCGCTATTTTATTCTATCAAGGGTGTTTTTTTATCGTGACACCATCACTAAATGGATTGCCAACAAAGGCTCAGAAGACTCCATTCACCCTCCTCTAAGAGCAAGAAATTTTGAATTCAGATTTTTCCTTCTCCTAGACCAGTTGCCATCCAAGGCTATAGAAACCCAGTCTGTCCTGCTGGAGGGAGAGGAAGAGGATTCATACCTTTCCCAAGGGTATTAGCACGTAAGTGAATGTAATTGATTCGACTGGAATTCGAACTCGGCTCTGCGATTCCTCAAGCCATGCCGCTATTCACTACTCCACCGTGCCTCCTCTTACTAACCTCATCCTTAGTGACTTTATTGTCTTACTCGGAAAGAAATGATTAAAAAATGTTTTTTTTTTCTTTTTCTCGTATTCTCTCATACCAGGTAATCCCCTTGCGTCTTAGTGACTTTATCGCCTTGCTCGGAGAGAAATTATTTTTTTTTTTTAAGGTTTCACATTTAGCTCCACCCAGGCGATATTTCTAATTTTCTTTTCTCTTACCAAGTTTCTAACAAATTTGATC